GTTTGGATGCGTGTTATGATTGTTGGTTGTTGGGATTTTGGAGTTTTCCATGGAAGACAGTATTCTCACATAGAATATCATGTGGATAGGTGAAGATGAACACCTAGTTTTGTGTCGAGCACTATGTGATTAGTTTGATCTTTGGTGAGGGGCTTGGATCCGAAAGACCTATCCATTATGTGATTACAATTAACCAAGAATTTTGGTAGAGGAATAATGATGATTTTATGCCTTATGTGAGATGTTTATGCTTAATGCATTATACTATTTTATTGTATGTGTTTATGCATGATATATATATGAATGTGATTGTGTGATAATATGCTTAAAAGAATATAAGTATGGTAAGGAAACCCTTGACATTAATTAATGAAATGAATTAGTAAGGTGATTAGGACATGATGAATAATATAGATGGCAATGCTTGCGCGACGATGCCTAGGTGTGCATTATTGGCAAGTAGTTGTCTAGTTGTGAGGAGAGTTTTGTATGGAACATGTGTGGATTTTTTATGTTACTTGTGATTAAGGTGAATGTGTTCATCTTGTGATTTTCGAATACAATCATATTGTGTTGTGTCTTATCACATAGTTGAAAATAACCCTTGACTTGTGTCGTCCCAAGAGTTGATGCTTTTGTAGAGCTTCTTTGAGATGTACGCACCATTACTTTGGCAGGAGTTCCCTTAAATGAATGGAGCCTACAGGCAAAAGACTTAAGATGGGGCTGGTCCTATGGAAAATGACGATTCATGTGGGAATAACCTTGAATCCGAATTCATTCATTTATCTCGTATGCAGTACGAATGGAGCCTACAGGTAAGAGATTTGAGATGAGGATGGTCCCATGGTAAGTGACGATTCATGTGGGAAGCACCTTGAATTCGAATCCATTTCGTATGTCAAAGTAGATACAAGGATCTGTGACCCACACTAAAAGTCCTAGACATAGGTGTGGCGGCGGGGAAGTTTACCTTGGTATGGTTTCTGATTAGTGATTATTTGAGTTGATGAACTCCAGAGGCATGTTTCCATACATTGTGCATTGTGTGAACTCAAGTCTTTTCCCTTCCATTTTGACTTGAGGTAGAAATTGATTAGAACTTTGTAGAGTCAAGTGAACCTATAAGATAAGGGAACTCACTGAGATTATCATCTCACCCTATTATTGTTGTTGTTTTTCAGGTATTGTTTACAGGTTTAGTTTGCATGTGGAACTTTGCTCGGATTTTTCAAGAGAAGCTTAGATTATGCTTATTTCAATGTGCATTGTGTACTATATATCTTGTATAATAAAGGATATTGTACTTAGATCTTAGTTTTTATTGTTTTGACACTTTCCATATGTTGTATCATAGGTTGTATTTTATGTTTTAGGAATGGTCAAGTATGTAAATTATGCCAATATGGACTTATAATGGTGTTAGTACCAGATAATGACTCTTGTATGACATTATTCTAGATATATATTATACAAGGCTTTATAGCAAGATCACAGGAAAATCGTGTGGGTCACGAACAAGAAGATGTGGGACAAAGATCTCCAAGTTCATCCCAAAGAATCTTGAGATCAGTAAAATATTGAGAGAGAGAGAGAGAGAGAGAGAGAGAGGGGGGGGAGGGAGAGAGAGTGTGTGTGGCACACACACAGAGATCACCTTGTTTGATTGAATGAAGATCGCGTAATAAATAAGAGGAACGAAAATGATTTCCCTTTGTGAATCTTTCTCGGAGATCTTCTCATATTTCAAAAGCAGAGTCGAAGCAAATGGTGCTTTGTGCTATATGAGGCGATAAGGTTATGTTGATCCATGAAAGAATCATACTATTGGCTCTATCCCATAGCTCGAAGTTTGCGTAAGAGATATCAAGTTTACACGGAGCACCGTTGATGAAAGACATCTTATTCTTCGATGTGAGAGCGTGACACGTTGATTTGCTCTAGTCGTGGTAGTTGGTGTCATCAAGAGGCGGTGCGACAAAAATGGAATTGGGGTTTTCGCCGGGATGAAGGTAGTAGGGAATTCTAAGGTTTTTAGTAGAATCTTTAGATGTGGTGGTTGTTGAATTACTAGTGTAATTGGCGCTACAGTCATGATTGGTCATGGTTCTCTGATTCTAAATCGAAAGTCATAGAAGAGGAAAGGAAAAAAGGGAAAGACGAAGGAAGGGGCGATGGAGAAACCCTAGAAATGGAAGAAAGAGTCTTAAATGAGGTTTTGGTATGTGAAAACATATTACATGGTGGAATGAATGATGCCCATTGGGCCGAAAATGAGTAAATGAACTGAAAATAAATGTTGAATACAATCTTAAGGTCAAATGATATATATAACATTTGGGCTAAAACTAACAATTTTCCTAAAGCTCAATATCAGCTTAGCAGAATAACAAACTCATAAAGTCTAATAGTTAAATTTGTAATAAAAACATCTCCAAAGATTTGAAGATTCTGATTTTGCACTTACATTAACGGTCCCTTGTATGAAAATCTTAGGAGAACCATCATTCTTTTTTTAATGAAAAGAAGAAAAAGAACATCCAACACATAAAACCTTTACTCTTTTTCTCTTTATACCACTCACATCAGACTCATTGATAAACCAACTCTTTCATCAAAGTCATTTAAGTTTTATATTTTTAACTACTTGAAACGTCAAAAGCATAAAGAAAGTAGCATGAACATTGAACACTAAAGCTGTGATAATTTTCAAACACAACTCATTAGAGGAACCTTCACTCTTAAGATACATTACAAAAAAGATTATGTAGGAGTAACATTCAACGACAGGAAAACCACATAGTCTAATTTTCTATCAATTACATGACATATGAACTATAAACAGATTATTGACTGCAATTTACATTAAGCGAAGAAAAAAGAACATGTTCTTATTCAGCCCGGCTTCAGGGAAAAATGGTGTTATTCGTCGTCGTTGTTTATCTTGATTTCTATAAGTTGCTCAATAGGTTGGCGGCATATAGGGCAATTATTTGATTGAACACGCAGCGCTTTTGCACACTCGCTGCACATACACTGGAAAATGCAACAAATATTGAATGAAAATAATCATAATACACATTATGCGAAAACCAAAAAACTAGACAAGAAATTGTACCATGTGCCTGCAAGGTAACACAGCAGTATCCTTGGGTTCAGTCATGCATATAACACACTCTTTTCCAGGATCATTACGATCGAAATCAGGCGCGACTGAGTTACCAATTCCATATAACTCTCGCAGTTCATAACGAACTTGATCGATCCATAGAATCTGCCTAACTACTTTAACCTGAAAAGGACCAGTTCCATTGGTTTTCTCCAAAACAGCTTGAGTAATTTGCATATGAGGGGATGCATCTACAAAGGAACTAGAGGGAGTTTCGTGATCGGCCAAAGGTGTTGTTTCGGCGCATATTACGAGTGGAAATACATCTTCCTCAGGTGAAGGGTTTGAAAGATCATCCAACTCAAAGAAACCTAAATCAATGCCTGTTCCTGAAGGCTGGCAGAATTTCTGACCAACTCCTTTCTGAAAAGGGAACGTTATCGGCTCAAACGCTTCGGGAAATAGAGGAATAAACCTACATTTATGTTCTTCTTCTTTGGCTAAGTAAAAGATTGTAATTCTGGTCATTACAAATAAAAGAGAACAATTTAGTTAAGATAAACAGAAACTAACAATCTAATTATTACTCATTGATGAAACTAGACAAAGATAAGTTAAAAGGATTGAGTGTATGACGAACCTGCCATCGAAGAGGGCGTCGAAAACGAAGGAAATCAAGTGGTGATCGGAATTGTTGGGATCTAGGTGAAGCTGTAGAGTATGTTTATGCAAATTGACATCATTCTTTACCTTCTTTGCGGTTTCATGGTCAACGTACGGTGGTGGTGGAGGTGGTTGAACAACATTCACATTCAAATCTACTCCGAACAGTTGAGTATTTGTCGTCGTTGTTGCGGCTGCTGCTGCGTAGGAAGGGTGGTGAGGCTGATTTGAGTAGAACTGATGAGACTGTGGAGGAAAGTAACCTTGAGGAGGCTGAGGCTGAGGCTGTGGCTGTGGCATCATAGGGTGAGGTTGAGAAGAGTATTGATAATAGTAGGTTGGAGGAGGAGGTGGATAGTGTTCATGGTAACTGTTCCTTCTTCTGTTTCTGTTATTATTGTTACTCCATGAACCACCCATCTCTCAAACATACACTGACACAAGACAAGATGCTGTGTCAATTCCTCTCTCCAGATCTAATTTTTCTTCTTTTTCTTTTTGTTTACTCAAACACAAAACACTACTTGCCAATTTTTAATCCATGCTTCTCTTTCATCTTTTCTTTGGCATGTATATTATTTTTAAAAATGGCATTGTGATACAAAAAAGAAAAAGCCAAAGTTGATAAAATTCTTTAATATTTTATTGTAAGAAAATTCAATTTAAACACAAACGTGGATTGTTGAAATTTGGAGATATTTCGAAAGAACTACTCAAAACTGTCATATAAAATTGTGTGACTTTAAATAGTTAGAAGTACATTTCACAAAAACTTGTCAATGTGATTTGAAGATTTTTTTCATCAAAAGAGTTGACAAAAGATGGATGACAAGAATCAAACATTATCTTAAATTTAGCCGAATATTTTAGTTTTTTGCTTACATAAATGAGCAATATAAAAAATGATTAAAGTGATGGATAAACTTGTATTAAAAAGAACATGATCTATGCTTTGTATTGACTATTGAGCAAAGGTAGAAGAAGTCTAACAAATAATAATATTACAAGGAGCAAAAAGTATTACAAGTTGTTCTACAAATATCACAAAACTCAAGTCAGGTTTTGAACTATGCTGACGATAAAATAATCAACTAAAGTTTTCCCAGTGCATAGCTCTTTGAGGTTAGTAAATTGAAATACAAGGTGGAGAAGTTTCGCCTCAGAGGGTTTCAGAACACAGAACAAAATGATCCCGACAAACCCTCCAGATAACAGAATCGAGATTCAATCAGTCCCCACTTGCACAACCCTTGCAACCACAGTGAACACACTCTATAACCTTCTCTTCTCGAAGATGCTTGGGCACTCTGCAAACACAAGTCGTGGCATAGTTGTGATCGCGCGGCTGCATGCACCTCAGGCAACATAGGCGTTCATAACCAGGCTGCAATTCAGAAACAAAAACATCATGACTCAAGTACTCACACAACAAATATCACTACTCGAAAAAGCCATATATTTTATTATAACAGTTCTTAGAAACTAAAAAGTACATCAATTCACTCACGCCAATCAAAAGAATATTTCAACAAAACTCGACTCTCCAAGTGTATTGAGTAGATATAGTTCATCACACAATCAATACATTCTTATATCTAGCAATTGCAATGGATATGCATTTTATCTTTTGATGTAAAGCAATTGCGCTAGCATTGAAGCATTAGATCACATTCGGTATATCCCTATGATGGAGCCACAACTCAAACAGACTTAAAGATAGAAAACTCAAGCAACAGTTCACAAATCACAGTTAAGTGAGTATTTGGAAATTGAGCAAATCACAATTACGCCGCAAGGAGAATTGAAGCTTCAATTCAAAGCTTCTATAAATTGTGGTCAAACCTGTATTGAGATGCGAGAAAGTAGCTGTAAATGTGTTACCAAACACAATGTAAACCAGCAAGGGTCCTGCCAAGATTCACACCATTTGGTTCATCCATTGGATTTTAACCTAGTTCATCACACTAGTATGGGAAAAATTGTGGTAGATAGAATCTCCAAGACCTAAGAGAATTGAATATGGCTAGCTAAACTAGTGCACTACAATCACCTTTAAGTTTTAATCGATTCTATATATCTCTCTCAATCAATTTACTTTGGACCTTGGTTCCATACTCACATTCACATAGTCACATGCATAACTTCAAAATTATCAGTGATAAACCCATTTTAAAATAAAAAGCACACTAAATGATTAAGTCCTTTACTTTGGACAATGTTGCTCAACAAGTTTAATACAAACGACTTTTGCAACTTCAAAACCTTAACATACTTGTCGTATATATGGATTTAGCTCAGAACCATTAAGAATTTTATTCTTGCACTAAGGTGATTTATTCCCTATGAAATGACATTTTAGAATTATCAGAGAGCTCTAGGCGTTCTGCCGACTCGAGCAGTTTTGAATAGTTGTATAAGCATAGCTTTGACCAAAACAAGGAGATTAGAATTTTAGGCAGCGTGGATCATTTGCAGCCCTTGAATATGGTTGGAGAAAAATATACATATAGTTAAGGTTACTTAACCAAGAAGTTCATTTTGAATAAAGGGTTTACATCTTCTCTTTTGGTGTTAGGCTTAAGGCAAGTGTTGCGATTTCAGATTCTTAGATATGGATTTCTCACTTCCTCCTGGCTGTACTTATACCATTTCCCATCAAATGAAATTTATTTTCCTATGGAAAAAATATATAAAAAGAGCACTTTCAAATAAATATATAAAATAATTATAGGTACCTTCTTCCATTTTGCAATTAGATTGCGATCAGCATATCCTTGATCTAAACAGAATTCATACAATTCTTTAGAAATTTCCTCTCTCTTATAGTAGAGGTCAAATACGTAGCGGCTCTTTTGGTGTGCAATTTTAAATATAGGCCACAAAGTCTCACATTTTCGTTTGCCATCGTGTGGATCATTCTCAGCTGCCGCATAAAGGATATAACAATATTACTTTGAAAGATTTAAGAATGAAAAAGAATATAGTAAGGACTGCATAAAATGTAAGATTCCAACCTTCCCTCATCTTTGCTTGAAGTTCGCGAAGTGTAGGCTCAATTAACTCCCAGCCTTCTGGGTATTTAACTCGGCTTGTCTTTACTTTTGGCATTTTTATCTGTCAAAGGAAAATATGATATTGAAGAGTCAATTTACATTCATCCTAGGAAGTAAAATAAATGGAACTTCAAAGGGACAAGTTATGAAGTTGTGATAAGATCTATTCTAATGTTAAGTGGCTCAGTTGGTAGTTAGTTAAGTTGGTTAGTTGGGCTAAGTTACTTAATAGATATAATAAGACATGTTCCCTAAAAATAAGAGGAAGCATTAAAGAGTGAGGTATCTTATCATTTGTATAGACTTGGGTTGGCATTAGGAGAGTTTAGAGTCTCTCCAACACTCTAAGTGTTCTACGTAAATTTTGAAATTTTCTCTAGTTTCTCTAGTAATACTAGAGAAATTCTATCATTTGGTATCAGAGCTGGATGTCGGTGACACAAAAACACGGAGTAAAACTTCATACTGGAGGTGTCAGAACATCAATTCTAAGGGATGGTGCTACAATAGGGACTTGGTTGGGTATTATGGGGTGCCCAAATTCAGTATGGGATGGCTGGTGGAGTATTTGAGTGACTTGGTTCTTCTCCCTTGATAGCTAGTCTTTACGGTATGCTTGGATATTTTAAAACGAACAGAGCAGACTAGAGGTTCCATTCCATTGTTTGGATATTTTAAGACGGAACAAAGCCATTGTAAGAAAATGGTGATGGAATGAGATGAAATGGTTTACATCATGTTCCATTCCATTCCATCCTCTTTTATATCAATCCAAACCATAGAACACAATTTTATTCCATTCCATTCCACTACATTCCATCAATCCAGACATAAGAGAGGGTTTCCAACCGTTTAAATACTTATCAAATTGGTAGTTAATAAAATAGATAAAGAGAGAGAAAAAAACAGTTATAAAACAAGCTACTCATAAGCTCAAACAAAGTCAATAAGATAAATAGTTTATAATGTCGGCACAATCGCTCTAAGTTCTGAAATAAAGTGACCAAAACAGAACATCCTGAGAAAAGACGCAACAGAAATGTTACCTAATTTTTCAAGACATACTGATACACATGAACCAATCTTGATGATTCAAACATCTTAAGCAATACACATCTCAAACTACAAAGACATTAAGAACCTTTATCATAAGTTGAATTAAAACGATTGTAGGAAAAAATGCAAGGAAAACCTCAATCAAGGGACGTGAACTATAAGCAAAAGATTGAATTACTAGCTTGTAAAAAACACTAGAGTGAGAAAAATGCAAGTGAAATGTGCATGTTTTGAAGAACAATTAAAAACCCTAACCCTAATGATTAAAAAGAGGATTATACATAGGGAAGAAAAGGCTATTATTGCAACGCACACGCATCTATAGAACAGAGTAATGAGAGGGAAAGGAACGGTTCTCTCTGAACAAAAATAGATACTAACCCTCAGAGGAGAATAAGCACGGGCGAGCGGTGGTTGGTCGCGCGACTGCCGGAGGGATGAGGTTGATCGGTCTACTAGGCGACAGCCGAGAGGAAGAGGAAATATCAAAACGGATGAAATAACTTATAAGTAATACTTTACTCGATAAACAATTTGTTAATTTTTAGGTTAAATATTTTTTTCTTTCTATAGCCTTCTAATTTCAATTCTCGGTTAAATTAGTTTTTAATTTAATAAAGAGGTTATTGGGTTTGAACTAAAATTATTTTATTATTTAACTATGTCAACCAATAGAATTTCATTATTTAACTATGTCATGTTATTAACTTAAAATTTAAGTAGAAAGTAAGGCTTGCAACTAATTTTGATGGAGATATGATGTTGACGACATAGAAGTGAGAGTAAGGGTTCCTAAGTGTTAGGGGAGATTTTTCAAAAAGAGAGCATTGAACATTGTGGGACTTTTCCTTTCTAGAGGAACCTTTGTGAGAGACACACCACTCAAAAACTTAAGGTGATAGGTGTATGAGTTCTCTCACTTATAAATGCTCAAGTCACCACATTTCTATCCAATGTGGGACTATTATCCACACTACTCACACTTGTTAATACTTAACACTAAGTGTGTTAATGAGTGAAAGACGTGGAAGGATTAGATGATGAGGTGGTTGAAGGGTTAGATGATAGTGAGGATGATAGAGTTACTACTCTTATAGATGGATTTGATAGAGTTGATGTAACTGTTCCTATAAATCAAGGGGAGATAGTTGCAGGATTGGTAGGTAGGCTCAACAAGAAAACTAAAGATGATGAATATTATAGTGTTGAATTGGATAGTTCAGATCCAAATGAATTTGGTGATGGAGAAGGGACCAAGTTTGAAAGATTTAGGAAATAGCATCTCAATAAGGAATACACATTTAAGTGGGGTATGGAATTTAATTCTCTTATTGACTTTAGGGAGGCAATCAGCGAGTGGTCGGTGTTAAACAGTAGGGAAATTACATTTATAAAAAATGAGGATTGGTCAGTGACATTGCCAAAAGATCTTATAGTTGTAACTTCTGGGAATTAGTTGGAATTCCATGTAGGAATGTTATTGCTGCATTGAGTTATAAAAAATAAAACCCTTATGATTTTGTTGATGACTGTTATACAAGAGAGAAGTATGCACTTTGTTATGGATTTGCTATGAGTCCTATCAATGAGCAAGAGATGTGGTCAGAGGTCTAAACAAATGAATTACTACCTCCTGTATATAAAAATGGACTTGGAAGACCCAGAAAGGTTAGGACAAGGGAATGTGGTGAGGATGGTGTCAAGAGGAGAAGACCTGGTGTAGCTTATAAATGCACCAAATGTGACAAGTTTTAACACAATGCTTTGTCATGCAAGAGTCTTACACAAGACCCTAATGCTTTGAAAAGAAAGGTAACATAAATTTATTTGTATGCATTGTGTTGTATTGAATGCAGAGGAAATTTTTTTAAGTCCTTAATTTTGCGTTCATAGTAAAAGGTTTGAAATCAATGGTGGAGCTCAAAAACTCTTGACTAACATTAGAAAATTGAAGTATTTAACTAGTAAGGAAGTAAGGTTGGTAAAGTCATGAATCTAATAATAGGAAAACACTTCTACCATTGAAGAATATAAGCAAACCATGAATTTAACTATTTGTAGAGTCAACATGAAAAATTCCACACACAAAATTTGCTTTAACAGCTTCAGACCAACACACCATTCATTAATTTAGAGTTAAAACATAGGAAAGAGATTTAAAAGAGGAGAGATACATTATAGAGTTTAGATATGAAGATTAAAGTGAGAATGCAATTGAGAATGATGTTTGGAACAATTGAGTACAATGAGTAATGTTGTGCATGATAATATAGAGGTTAGAGATGAGTTTGAAGGTGAGAAAAAATGGAGATGGAGATAGAGATGGATTGAGGAAGAAGATGTTTTGTAAAATTATTTTTATTCTTAATTTGTCCTCTGATGCCATATCATTGGTGACGCGTTACTGAATGTTTGGCACCTCAGCTATTTTGTAGCGGAGGGAGGGATAATGTTAGAGAATAAAACCAAACGAAACTCATCCAAAAGACGCCAACTTAGAGGGATAAAAAAATCATAACAAAGACACCAACTTACAAGGATCAAAAACAAAAAAAAAAAATTTATTGGAATCAAAAACAAACAAAAAAACCATCCAAACTAAACTCATTATATAAAGATCTCATCAAAAAAAATAGAATTAAAATAAAAAAAAGACGACAACTTACAAAGATCAAAAGACTATTTAAATCTTTCATTATATTATATAATAACAATTTACTAAAAAAACTAATAAAAATAAAATATAAAAAAAATTTACCCCTTTTTACCACATATTTGATAGTCTCTCTCCTATAAAAGAAATTGAAATACAATTTTCATCTCTTATTTTCTTTTCAAAGTGAAATTTTTTATATATTTCAAATGCCTTTATCATTTTTGATAATCGAAAAGAATAGTTACATGTTTTTTCAATGGGATAAGTTTATTCTTTTTTTCCATCGCTAGTTTGATTCTCTTCCATACTATTTTATCTTTGTTTGGGTCAGAAAGTTTTCAACTTCTTCCGTTGTGTACATATTCTAGACACCTTTTACCTCTCTATCAAACCTTCTCAATAGTTTTTGCATAAACTTTCTCTTATAAACATTAATTCTGAGAGGTTGAAAACCTACCTACAAAATATATTCTAATCCATTAAATTGTTGTAGAGTTAAACTTTACTTTTTATTTGTTTGGCTCTTGCATCTTCTAAAAAAGAAAATTTATAAATAAAAATATTAGTAGACTACACTTAATTTACAGATAATTAATAGAAATAAAAGAAGATTTAACTCAAAAACAACAATTCACTGTTTCCACTTATCTTCATTCAGTGATATTGACTCCCTTAGTTAACATTAAAAACAAGAAAAAGTATTACAACAATATAGACAAAAAGGGAAAATAAATCCATAATAAAAAATAAAAATGAAAATAAGGAAATAGAAATATCACTTTCAACTCGTGACAAACAACGACGACAACAATCAACCCTTGTTTCACTAAATAAAGTCAACTACATAAAATAATTTTCGTCATAATATTCTATCCAGAAACATGTTCTATCCAACTCATGACAACCAAATAGTCTGAAATTCATGTTGAGCAGAAATCTGGCCTCATTCTCTTCCGAACTGAAATTGAACCTCTTTGATGATCCCTGAAAATCTTGATCTCAGAGCAATCCCTCATATCCTCAAGACTAATATACTGCTGCTTAACCATCTTCAAGGAATGACACCCAGTCTCATGAATCCAAATATAAGGGTGGCTAGTTTCATCATAGGAATACAACAGATTCTTCAAGCTTCCACCAACACTTCCACTCTTGGGAACATATGTCTTATATATGCTTTTACATTTGAGTCTCTTTGAAGACCCTGGCTTCAATGTATGAATCTTCTTCAGTATTGATCCCACCCTTATTTGCAGCTCCACTGGTTTATCACTTAGGTTCCATATCCTCGTCCCGTATCCCGAGCCTTGTGCTTGGTCGCGGAAGCCGTCAAAGCAACCACCAAAAGATGGAAGGCTAAGACATTGCACTTTCCCCATGAGTGACTGTGACTTCATATGTTTCTTATTTGTGCTCATTGCATCAGAAATATATGTTTTTTCTTGTGAAGCTTACAATGAGGCTATTGTCATAGAATAAAATGAAAAAGTATGTGCTGAGATGCACTTTAGAAGCCTTGCAATTACAGAAATCTGTTTGGCCCTTCTATCAAGGAATTGGTAGGGTCCCTTGCACCACAAGATTCAGCAACAAGAAGACATAACAAAAGTTTATTGTGACAGAACTTTATAAAATTGGTAGTGTATAGCTTTTCTTTTTGGTAACTAAGAGACTATTGGTTAGCACCAATACTAGGTGTTCAAAAGTTCATGATGAAGTCTCATGTGTTGTTGCCTCACCTTTATCTCATACAAGGTTGCTTCTGATTTAATCCAACATGAATAAATAACATTCCCTATGATAACAAATTATTTACTTTTTGTCTGCTGAACTGTTTAAAATCAAGATATCCTCGGCATATACACCGATTAAGGAACCGATTAAGGAACCGACCTTTAACCAAATAGTAAAGAGACTCAAACATCTACTACTCGTGTCGTACTATGTTGATTCTCTTAATCATTTCTATTTATACCTGAAAGTGTAACGGCGAAACTTGTAACCAGCATGGCCCAAGACTGTTGGTTGAACCAGAAAATCAAAATCATTAAAATATGGACCTAAAATCGATTTTCATTTTTCTTTGCTTTATGAACAACTGCGAAAACACTAGCCACCCTAATTACGGTCGGTTAGGAGAGGAGGAAAAACGAGAATAGAGCTACAATCCAAAGTAAAAAGTACAAACCAACACAGAAAATCAAGAATAGTTCATACTATGAACTGTTCTGCTGTTATACATATGCAATGCCCTCATCTTGACTGTATAATTAACCATTTCTAATATTGGTACAATACAATCACAGATAAGTAGCAACTAGCAGCTACTGCTTAACCTTTTTTTTATGTAAGAAAAAAAAACATAAATAACCTTTAGAAGGTGGGGTGGAGTAAGAATTTACACACGGTAGTTTACGTCTTTAATGTTGTCGATTGTTGTCTTGATTCTGATATATCTCATTAACAAGAGGCTGACTGAGATTTACTAAAGGTTCAGTGACAATGGGTTGTTCTGAGTTAGATGTAGTATCACTCATGTCTTCTCCGCAATCAGCCAACGCGTTATTTAAAGCAGACTTGGCAACTTTCGTAACGCAAATCATCAAAACCACTGCAAGTTACCGACATCAACACTTCAGCTTGGCGAAACGGAACCGCTACAAGTGTAATCTATATTTTATGCAAGCAAAGAATGTGACTTACCAGATACGACTAGACTCAAAATTAAGAAAGCCTGCATCCAAAAGAGAGAAATTTATGATATGCCAATTGAAGATAACATTGAATAAATCGCCCGTATTCTATCCCGTCAAGATGATCAAAAGATAATACCCTCCATGGTATTTTAGATGTTCATCAGAAGTCGAAATGTTTAAAAGGTTCATCGACATGGTGACGTCTAGAATGAGAAAGTGTCTTATATGGTCTATGGTAGATCAATGGTTGAAAATGGTTTGAAACTCTTGATGTCAGTCCTCGTAAGTAGAAGCTCAAAGTATTACTTGTACCTCGCGACTGAGACGGCGACCCAATCAGAATCAGTTTGTCAAAAAATAACAAAAACAAATATTAGTGTCCTGGAAACTCAATTTATAATCGTTTTATGTTGACTTTGCCGAATAAACACCCATCAGATCACTGTCTCAGCCGAAAGTACGTAGCAGACCCTGAACTTCTACTTAAATGTGGTGACATCTGCCATCTTTGAACTTTTTAGCGATTTTCAAGCATCAGCCCACCATAAACCACATGAGACACTTCCTAACCCTAACAATTGCTCATTACTATGTAATTAAGGATGGCATCTCTTACCCAACGAGTCTTTGATAACTCTCCCCCACCATGCGTCACATCAGATAGATCTTTGAGTGTTGTTCCAGCATACACAAGTGCCACCGTTATTGGCTGCGAAAGTAACATAGGAGGTATTAAGAAATTGCTGTAACCGAAACGCCGTCTAGTGAGCTATAATAACACAGAACTTATTAAATAATTAACATAGAACTTAGTTTACGGTGCAAACTACCCGGTCTCAACATTAAATCCAGAGGGGAACAGGCATCGGATGCGTTAGTTGTTGGGTTAAAAAATTTCACCGATGATTTCAACTTGTTTGTGGTTTTAGTCATGAAGATATGATGATTATATACTAAGATATATAATTCCCAAAATCAAAAATCAAACTTTATAATGCATGAAAACAGAAATTTATTGTTACTGTTAGATTAAGACCCCAATATATAATTAATCAAGGATGAAGAAGATACCATCATTCCTAACCAGGACGCCAATGCGTATTCCCATAGTGAAACTGGAGTCACGGATAGGAGATAATTTAACATATTAAACGGTAGTAATGGGACAAGTCGAAGCAGAAACACAATCTGAAAAAGAAGAAAATGTGATGAGATATTAGTTAAAAAAGCAAAATGAAAAAGGATTTATAAGAACAGCTTAAACCGTTTAAGCAATGATTAGTATTTTCCATTTATCAATAAAAATACTTTATTAATTTAAGAGAAGCAATAAAACCGTTTATTTTTCTTTTCAGTTTCACCTAACAGCTTAAACTTTTGAGAGAGTTCTATAATATTAACTACACAAACCTTAAAGCCAGATGTCTGAATTGCAATTGACACTGATCTAAATTGTGGATAGTCCTTCAACTTAGCAACAACAAATGATTTCCCAATCTGTACATAGAGACAATTATATGAATAAATGACCTCAGAGGAAACAAATAACTATAAGAAAAAACATCTGGTACTAATCAAGAGAAACCTATATTAATGAATATATGAAGCATGGAAATCTCTAGGAGTAGATATGTCAATGTCTAACAGCCGTACGACACGTGTCTAACAACTTACACGAGTGTCCCAAATAAAAAAAAACTTTTGCTTAGACACACCTTAGACACTTCTTAGACACATCTCAACATATTTATGAGAATTATAAAGATGTATCAAAGCAATGATGATCCATGAGGGATTTAAAACATCGTGTTGGAAATTCCTCCTGGTCCGCTCCTAGTCACCTAGTTACGGCATTTGGATTGCCTTCATTGCAACCTCCAATATATTTATTGTGTTCAGTGTGAAGGGGAAGATTTAGTCTCACATTGCTTAGATATATGGTATGTGAAGTGTTTATAAGAGGGGTCAATCCTCATCTAACAAGTTGGTTTTGTAAGGTTGAATTAGGACCAACTCACAATTCAAAGTCTCAATTCAAATTGTCTACGGCAGATTGCAGTCCATGGCAGAGAGCCAAAATCCCACCACACCATCGGCCGCCTGGTGGCATTATCATAGCGGAATACCCCTCAATAGCAGCTGATATTTACCATTGCGGCGAGCCCAATACCCACAACATATATCCTTCAGTGTCTTATGTTTATGTTTATTACATTAGGAGTGTTGACGTGTCTAGGAGTTTGTGCTTCATATATGAATATTCAATAGAAACTATTGGAGCAGTTTTGAACTTTTTTAATTCCCAACTACAAATTAATGCAAAACTTACTGTTCCACCAAGAAGAAATGCAGCTACAGCACCGATGGTTGCACCAATAGAGTCAGCAATAATGCCAATCGGAAGGCCAAATAGATAACCACCACCAAGCTGAACAAAAAGTACGAAGTTTAACAAGGTTTCCATGAAATGTCAGCTCAGATCAGAGATGCTTACCGTAAGTACGGAGGCCGGAACCGCCAATATCGTCAAAGGAATGTAAGCAACTGCCCTGAAAATAACAAAACAAATACCACATTAATGACCTAACATTAACAGCTATGAGATTGAACAAAATAGAACAACATGTTTGACTTACAGAGCAAGGGGACCCCATTTCCCAAGATCACGATCAACCCATATCAAGAAATCATTCAAAATCTGCAGAGCAAAAATGAGGGGTAATTTTTCAGGAACGAAAATCCAAATGTGATTCAAAGAAATACCTAAATCGAAAATTAATCAATTGAACAGAAATGCACCTACCCTAATTGAGGACCCAGAAGTGAAATTGGAGAAAAAAACGAACCTTTTGAATTGGGAGAATCAAGATAGCAGCAATAACAGCGGAAACAAGGAGGAGAAGAAGAGTGATCTTTAGAGCAGAGGTCCATGACCACAACATGTTTTTAACATGCGAATACGAGGTTGTTTGTTTCAGCAACGTTGACGAAAAGTAGCGGTAAATAAGATAGAATCATAAATTTGTGTCTCAAATTGAGAATTGTACCTGCAAATTCAATCATGACTTAGAAATAGAAAAGAAATCAGTAACGATAAGGTTTTTGCTTTTGTGGTTTGTCTTCTGCTAAAAATCAACCTAAATTACTTGTTATGACAATTGTCGTTAACAGATGAATAAAAAAGTAAATGTGGATTTAATTTTAATGGTTTTTTGTTTATCAACATTTTAATAAAGAGTTTATTCTTTTATGAGTCAAACTAGTAACTGAACCGCGTGCATACTTAAGCTATGTTTTAGGATGGGACACAATATTTGTTTATTTATAGATAATAAAAATATGAAGTAAAAGAAATTTAAAAATGATAGTAAAATTTAAATAGTAATAATAATATATATAGAAGAGGAAAGATAAACAATAATATTATAAATAATATGATTAATAAACTTCTTTAATCTTTTCATATATTTATAAAAAGTAATTATAAATTTTTATTATTTAATATTTGGATTATTAATAAAGTTATTCTCATTTAGAATATTAATATTTTTTTTATATGTAAAAATATTTGAAATAATTTTTTTTCGTATATCAATATTATTTTTTATTTATAAAAATATTTGAATCAATAATAAATTTATTCCGTATATAAAAATATTTGAATAACATATATATTTGAATTAATAGATCTTTTTCCTACCATTTTGGCCATTTTCGAAGAA